AGATGTGAATTTTGATATGGTTATATGCGCCATGATATGTTAGTATTATTGTTATTATTATTACTGTAACACTCAGCACATTGCTGAGCGGGTAGTTGTTTGTTTTTCCTACCCATAGGTTAAGCATGGAATCTGCTAAGAGCACCGGACGGAGGGAGGCGTAGGACTCATTTGCATATCATGTCTATTTGGTGTTTTTTTGGACTTTAAAATGACGTCTTTCACTTTTAAGAACTTCCGCTGTTACTAAAGTTTTCTGTGATGTTTACCTCATGTTTGCTTTATTAACAATTCTACTCATTGCGAGTTGACATTTTCGGGTATTAACTAATGAAGTTATTTTGGAACTAATACGCTTTATTTTAAGTGTGAAAATCCAATATTATGAATTAATAGTTTTTATGTAAAAAAAAAAAATTGGGCGTGATTTTCCTGTATCACCAAGACCCTTTTAAGTGAATCCGCTTCGCTTTTCCCGCAAAGTGACGCGCCGCCCGGATCAGCTGGGCCGGTCTGGGTGGGGCATTACATTTTGGTATCAGAGACAATGGTTTTAAATGATTCTTTTAAACCTTGGGTAAATGGGTTGTACTTTTCTACACCGTGTGCGTTGCATTGCATTTTAGAAGTCCGCCTCCCATCCTGGTATTTAGTGATATCATACACAATTAAAGTAATATTGTACCTCATATAGTAAGATTTTGTTCTACACGCTTATATATATGTGATCGCCTCTATTGCTTGGTTGAACATCCAAGACCGAGATCTTTTTGGCTTAAAAATGAAAGTATTCATGGCTCTAGCTAGGGTGAAGTATAAGTGTTAATAAAATAACCAAAATTACCTTTAAAGATACTACGTACAAGTTAAGAAATTTCATATGAGCCTCATCAAGTTACAATATATACAAAACTTGACAAAATTGTCATTACGAACGAGGTTTACTAAGTAAAAATCTGTAATGAATTGCCAAGATAAAACATTACTACTTCAAATTGAGCTAAGGCTTTAAAAAAAATTGATATTCGATCGGGATAGCACCAGCTGCCCCTAAAGAAGGAAAGATGGTTACACATGCCTCAAGACAACTCAAAGAGAACGAGAAGAAGTACCCCACACCTGATTTGGAGCTAGCTGCCATTGTCTTTGCTTTAAAGATATGGCAACACTACCTTTATGGGGAAAAGTAATATACCTTTACCTATCACAAAAGTCTTAAATATCTTCTGACCCAGAGAGAGTTAAAATTGAGTCAAAGGCGCTGCATAGAGTTAATAAGAGATTATGACTGTGTAATTGACTACCACCTCGAAAAGGCTAATGGTATATCAGATGCTTTGAGCCGGAAAACTCTAGCCGAATTACACTCTCTCACCAATAAGAAAATCGTAGAAGCTCAGAAGTATGATGACCAATTCGTTAGTTAACAGATACAATCTCTTACGAGGGAGAGAAATGTAACGCCCTAAAACCCGTTCTAGCTAGTAACGTGAATTTAAATAATTTTTATGCTAGCTAATCATAATAGTTAAAAAATATTAATTACAGAATACATATTAATAATAAAATAGCATAAAGAAATTTGAATAATAAAATATACTAAACCCAGCGTTAGAAATGAATTGTAATCATGTGCAAGGTCAAATATAATCTTGGCAAACATTTTAAGGGACTAATGATATTTCAAATTTCATAGCAGCTCATATGTACTAGTTTCTCGGCTCGTGAGATTTGTACGCCAGAATAATAACTATTGACCTATTAATTAGAATTATAAGACCATGAAATTTAAAATTCTAAGACATGCCCATAAAGTTCACGTGAAGGCATTGGAAGCTTAAGTGTGTGCTGAAATCTTATCCTATCCTAATAGTCCAAATATTTACGTACACATGCAGTGGTAAATTAAATGTTGTCTTAAGTCAATTAAATTGACACTCTAAACTGTAGCCACGTACAACTTTGGTTCAATATCATTGGACACATGTTTAATAGGACAAAAGTTTCATTATTAAAAACTTGGTTTAATGAGACAATTGTTTGCTGAAGACTCTATGTCATATGAATGGGATGAATTTAGATTAGAAATCACCATCCCTATTATATTCTATTTATTAAACATAGTAGTATTAGCCAAGTTTTATTATTTTAGATACAAATAAAACATGCAAGCACTTTGGATTAGAATTTATGGAATTTGGTCACGGTTAAGTATTACTCCCTCCGTCCCACTATGATTGTCCCATTTTACCATTTCGGTCCCTCCCACTAAAATTGTCTCATACCTTATTTGGTAATGTTTCTATGGTTCTCAATCATTCCTACTTTATTCTTACTTTATCAATTCGATATCAACCACATAAACCCACTTTTATTAATAAACGTGTCATCTTCTCTTGTCCCAAACTTAGGAGGACGGAGGTAGTATTATACTACGTGTATAGATATATAAAATATTTGGCTTAAAGAGTTAAGTGTAAATAAATATATGGTATACGTGTATATATGTACTACGTTAATTGTGAGATTCGTATGTACTTAAGGGTGTATATATGGGCAATAATTACCATCCTTAATAGATGGTGCTATAACATGTAAAATCAACATATTCATATATTTAGTCACGTACTAAATACACTTAGCCACTTACAGATCGAATGGTTTAAACTTTAAAATGCTTACGAAATCACTGAACGTATTGGTCCTGTAGCCTACCGACAAGCATTACAACCAGAGTTGAGCCAAATACATGATGTTTTTCATGTGTCAATGCTAAGAAGATATAGATATGATCCTTCACATATACTAATACCCGGAATCGTGGAGCTTGATAAAGATTTAACCTATGAAAAGGAACCGATCGATACTTGCTCGAGATGTGACGGTGTTAAGGAATAAAATGGTTCCCTTAGTCAAAGTTCTTTGGAGGAACCACACCATGGAAGAAGCAACTTGGGAAACCGAAGAAACCATATGATAGCCCAATATCCATATTTGTTTAACGTCAACTCAGGTAATTTCGAGGACGAAATTCTTTTAGGGGGGGGAGAAATGTAACACCCCAAAATATGGTCTAGTAGTTAAGATACATTTAAATAAATTCTGAGATATTATTACCCTTTCAAATTAAACATCTTCCTACTTTGTATAATTTATAGTATAGTTTTATAATAATAAAATAAAAACGTTAATAATTAACTATACTGTACGTGTAGGATTCACATTTAACATTTTTATTCTTGTAATCTTCTTTGGCATAATTTTCTAAGGTATCTAAACCAAATTAGAAACAAATAATACTTGTCCCAAATCTTACATTAAGTTACGTACGTGCAAATCTAAATAGCTTGCAATTTGGACAATTCTAAAAAAAATATAATAGTCAAGTATCTTCAATTCATGTACCCCATAATAAATTTTACACCTATGACGTGCACTTTGTCGTGATGTGCACTCAAAATAATAATACAATACAACACTTATACGTAGTATAGCGTAGTAAGGTTCGTATCCACAGGGAAAGGAATACTTTTCTTTCTATAGAACTAGTAACAAAATGGGGTTTTTTAGTTTGATTTGGTTTAATAAATTAAACACGAAGATGAACGAGTTATGTGGTTTAACTAATGAGAAGAAGACTTGGCTTTGCTTTTATCCACTTAATGAAATGTTCGTCGATCCCGGTTATATCTTTAACTATCTTCCTCTCGAATACTCAATCGAGGAGTATATCCAGTTCATCGAGGGTAGTTATTAATAACGAGATGCGTTCATTAATAAAACTTACTATCGAGTCAATATAGAACAAGCGCCATATATTAACTTGATAGTAGCAATAAACTTAAGATGAAAACGATTGAGATTGATAACCTCAACACAAGCGGTTTATTAGTTTAATCAATATAATTAATTCCCCTTGGCTTATTAATCATGAGAAGCATGCATTAACAACCCAAGTTTACTACCATTGAAAGAACCGAATTAATAACAAGCGTATTAACCGATTGATTCTAGTAATAATTAATATATGAAACAAAACTAGTTGATCCTTTAAGTAATGTTCAAAATATTAATATGAAATATGAATAGGAATTAATTAATACTCAAGAAAGAATATTAAAGAAGATGAATCCTACTATAGTTAATATCAAGATGTTAACTAATTGTCATCTTAGTAACACTCCCCGATATTAACGTAGAGGAAGAAATAACTATTGCTATAACTAATGTCAAGATGTTAACTAATTGTCATCTTAGTAACACTCCCCAACATTGATATAGAAATAGTATTTAAAGAAAGAATTAATATTCAAGGAAGAAGATTAAAGATAATAACTCACAACTTACAAATTCATTAAGCTTCAAAGTAGCAAAACAAAGATGGAAGAGTTTAGCTCTTCATTTGGAGACTAAACATGCTATAAAAATATAAAAGAAATACTATTCTAAACTGAGCTTATGAGTATGGAAGAAGGGATGATTATTTGTGAAGGAAAAGTGTGTTATTTATAGGTGTTTTTCAACACCCTGGGCCGGGTACCCGACCGGGTCAAGTGCCTACCCGACCGGGTGGATGTCTAAATCAGATAATCTCCCACGTTCATGTGTTTTAGCACGTTAAAATGTCCCGGGTCACATCTGACCCGACCGGGTGAATTACTTGACCCGACCGGGTCTAGCCCTTTCTTGTGAGGTTCTGATTTCAAATCAGACCCGACCGGGTGATGATTTCTACCCGGTCGGGTGGATCTCCCTGGGCAGCATTCCTGTTGACTTTTCTCCTTTTTCCTTGCCAAAAAGCTCCAACACTATTTTACAATTATAAATGGAAGCTACAAACATTTACAAACACGACAAAACAAATGCTTACAAACTAACTAAAAATGGTAAACAATCCACACAGAATAAATATAAAAACATATATTTATGCACTACAAACTAGTGCATATCAACCTACAATAATAAGCCAACTGGCTCTATAATAGTACCCTTACTTATCTCAAAACTTCATAAACATACATGCGGCTAGCCACTATAAAAAAATACATATACATCAACTGTGAAAGGTTTGAGCAAGTAGAAGAGATAGGAACAAAGTGAACAAAACAGCTTCGGGTCCAATATCATTAACGCGCGTTTCTTATATAAGGTCAGTACATTTCCGCCCCGTTTTATTTAACGTATATTTTGTACGCCAGTTCTTTTTCTCCTCCCCAGTTCTTTTTCTCCTCCCCGGACCCCTCTCTGTCTATGATTTCCTTCGAATGGTAAAGTGGGAGCACCACCTTGACCTGGCTTTTCTACCTTCTAAACTGGAATCCGACGGTTCAAGAAAAGGTCCGGCGAGAGATAAAAATTATACAACTCGCCGTCGCGTTGAAGTTTTTTAGGATGTAAACTGTCAGAAACTGGTGTACCTCCATGGAGCTCTGGGCGAATCGATCCGACTATTACCGCCGGTGGCTCTTGAGCACAAGGTGTCGGCGGGGGATGACGTTCTGCCCAGCGGCCACCGGGTGAAGCCCAACACCAGAGTGATAGATTTTGTCTACTCGACGGGGAAGATGGAGGCAGTGTGGGGTGAGGGCTGCATGGAGTTGCTGGAGAGATGGATTTCCGGAAAAGCCGGCGGCGGGGTCAAGCTTGAGCCGTCATACAAGTTCCCGGCGTTTATCGCCGGACCAAAAACGTGTTTGGGAAAGGAGATGGCCTTCGTTCAGTTGAAAATGGTTGGTGCGGCCATTTTACACCAAACCATTATAACTTCAGGTGGTGGATTCGGATTCAGTTTTCACCAGTCATCATTCAAGCTAAGCACAGACTGAAATACGAATTCAGCTGGCGAATAATAGGGATATAATCAGACATTTAATTAAATTAGGACTGTATTTAGTAAAACTTGGTTTGTATTTAGAATTACCCATTCCCGAAGTATTAAGAGTTAATTCCCTATCTAGGAGTAAAAAATAACTAAAGTGCAAAACTAGGAGCTCACTTATCCGCATAGTTTCATAGGAGTAAAAAGGAGTGGACTGACAAAAGTACCCTTAATGAATACATCTCATTAATACGGAGTATCTATATACTCGTAAAATACATCATGAACTAAAATGAGCTTTCTTTTTCGAGTAAATGCAATCCAAAAAAAATCCTCAAATGATAAGATCATCAACCATCACAAAGTGTTTTTAGAAACAAGATAATCACAAAGTATCCCCAACATAAAAAGAATACATTAAGGGGTCTTCAATTTCTTTTTCCTCATGCAATCAACTTTCTTTAGTAACCACCCTTAGGATCCTGCAAAATCAAAAGAAATACTTTCTCTCATTCTCTCATTTTGCCTAGGTGCCCATTCGGGTTTTCAACCCAGCTTCCCACATTTTTCTTCAATAAATCTCATAGACTCACTCTTATTTTTGCTTTATTTTTGCTTAAGCTGCCCTTTGTGGGTTTCAACTTAACAAGCTGTTTTAATTTGTTTTTTTTTTGGAGTAAAAGCAAGAATCAAGAGTATGAATGTGAGCATACCGGACAGATCTCCCCCACCGCTAGTCCATGGCACAGTCCCTAGTGCCCGCCCGCATCTCCGCCATCATAGAATCCTCCATAGCCCTGGTAGCCCCCAAAGTGTGCATCCTCATCCATGCGATCACCATCGTATCCGTCGTCCCCGCCTCCACCACTAGAGCTCGAACCGCCAAAATAACCCCATTCAGTGGGGTTATACCATGAGGGTGCCGGAGGAGGAGTAGTCATAGCGGTAAAGTCGCCCTGATGTGCTACATAGGAGTAGATAGGGCCAAAAGTCCTCCTCTGGTCCTCCTGATCTCTCCGCCGATCTTCTTCGTATCTCCGCCAATCCGCTTGCCTTTGCTCCTCGATCCTCTCATAGTGCTGCCTTTGCTCAGTTCTATACAAAACAACTTCCCCCCGAAGTTGAGTGTAGTTAAGGTTTAGAGCATTCATGCTATTTAGCATTTCTTGCTCAAATGGTGAATATTGGTGAGCATTGGGTTGTGGTTGAGGTTGTTCAGGGATGAGGGGTGGTGGTTCATGCGCAGGCTGTTCTTGTTGGGGTTGTTCTTATTGGTAGTGGAGTGGTATTCTTCCAGGGAGACAATAGTGGTGTCCATCACCAATTTGGTGATTAAGGAGGTCCAAAGGGAGGTCGGCTGAGGGTATTTGTGTGTAAATAGGATGTGGTGGATCAATTAACCAATTGTAGATATCTACCCCACCGGGTGTTTTATGGGAAAAAACAATATCTTTGGTATTTTTCAGGAGCCATGATGTGCAAACAAGCTGTGCTGAGGTAATGGGGCCTGGGTCTACAAAGCCATAGAGTGTGGCTAAATGTGTAATCAAACCCCCTACCCTAATAGTTCCCGTGGAAGTTGCCACTGTCTCGAAGTGATCCCATAGTATGGAGGCAACATCCACGTGATCCGGACCTGGTAAAACAGCTTGTCCAAGAATACAAACATCCCAGACCCTTGTGTGATGGTTATTTGGTCTTCCGAGAAAACAGTTTGATAAAAATTTCAAGAAAATTCGGAAGACCGGATGTTGTACACGATTCACACTAAGGTGTCTGAGCTCCACATCCACCTGCCCTGTCATCCTTTTCCACATTTCCACACCCACAAAAGTGTCATGTTCACGTTCTTCATTGAACAAGTGGAGGCCGAAGTGTTGGGCAAACTCCCGCTTGGTCAATGAACGGTTCTCATTCAACAAACGAAATGTGATTCTACTCTCAGCATGATTATCAACATTCGCTATTTGTTTAAATGAGCTAAAGAATTCATACACCAAATGTGGATAGGTGACATATTGCATTTAAAAAAGAGATAATTATCAAAGATATGAGTAAAACTCCATCAGTTTCTCAATCTATGACCTTATGACTTTTTTATCAAAATAATATCAAAATTCGTGTTAATTAATTAATATATTAATAATTAAATAATAAATTAATTTTTAGGGACTAATATACCCTTAGATTGTTATTATAAAACATTTAACTCCTAATACCCTAAATGTAGGCAAGCTATACTGGTCCAAGAGATTCTTCCCCGACCTGGAAGAAACCCTCCGTTGCAGGAGCTACGTCATCTAGAGGGGCCGGAGGAATCATCCGGTGATCTAGAAGCAACACCTTCGTCTCCTGGAGGAAGAATCATCACAGATCCCACGCACGATGGACGACCTCACACCTGCGCAGCAGCAATCGACGAAGGACTTCAATCAGGGACGGACGGTGATGGCTACGCAAGGATCTGGCCACCAGAGATCGTTAGTCATGGTGGGTGTTGGGAGACTTTTCACGGTGTTATTTAATTGACCAGCTTTGATGGAGTACGTGGAATTGAAGAAGTTAGGCCTGCCATGGATGTTTATTTGAATCATCAAATTCAATTTTTGGGGATCGGTTGTTGGCAGACGCTTATCTTCTTCTACGGTTTGAAATGTTCCCATTTAATTATTTTGTTTGATTCTTTGGTTAACCTCAACTGACCAATTAATCTTCCTTTCCTCAACCTTGGATTCGCCATATTTTAATCCTCCTGTTTTGATCCGTTTATAGGCATTATAGAAATATCTGAAATCATCTTGTTTGGATCTGTTTATAGCAAGCACCCCATCATCGGACCATATTCTTAGGCTTCGAGACATGGCAGTAAACATAGACAGTGAATATGAAAACTAAGCATGACAATATATGATTTTGTACCTAAGCAATGAATGAATGCATTGAGAAAGAGGGTTGTGCATTGAATCGAAGGCAATAGATAATGTTGAATATGAGCAGTGAGTATAACATTCGATAGTGTTGTACATGGACAGTGAATGAATGCACTGATGATGAGCAGTGAATGAATGCATTGATGAAATATTTTGTGAAGTGGATCCAAGGCAACAGAGCAATAACAACGACACGAGATGTAATATAGTTAACTGGACATAAAATACTAATTTATAGTTATTACATCTAAAAATAAATAAATAAAAACAATTTAAATAAATTCCTAACGTGGATAAGAAGTGAATTAATGTTGGCTGGAAGTGTTGTAATTCTTACTCATTGTGCAATAATGTTGTGCATTAATGTCGTGCGGTAACTACAATATAAAGTGCAGTGTTTTTAATTGGACGGAAATAGTGTATCATGCTCTTTTTTTAAATAAGGGTATTTTGGTCATTAAACAATTAAATATGAACGAATTTTTCTTTTAATTTTTTCTTTTCAGTCATACAAATGTATAAAAACATAACTAGTCATAGTTAGGGAAACTCAATATGTTTCAATCATATCCTGGGAAATTTCCCTTTAAAAAATCCTAAGCATCCCAATGTTCGTGAAAATCTCACGCATAATCGCATCAAGCATGAATGACAATAGCGTAGTAATGCATATGAAGCGCTATGAAGCGCTTTTTGTGGACCTCGGTGTTAAACTTCACACTCTCAAAACCGGGAACGGGTGCAATCTCTTGGTTACCCCTTGAAGAAGATGCTTTGGATTTTTTAGGAGCCATGAAGTAGATTTTTTTTAGATTTTTTTACTTGGTATTTTCGGACTTGGGTGTTGGGGGGTTTGAAACTTTGGATTTTTGGTGGGTTTTGGGTATTTTGGGTTTGTGAGAGTGGAGGGGATGATTATTAGGAGAAGAAATTGGGATTTCTTGGGATTTTTAAGGCAAAAATCGGAACTTTTGGGGTATTGGGGTTAGGGTTTCGGATTTCTTTTGGGGATGGATTTGGGTGGGTTTTGTGGGTAGAAAATGGAAGAGGGGGTGGAGGAGATGAAGAAAATGATTTTATTTGATGGATTTGGTGTAGAAATGGAGGTAAATCAAAGCTTTTTTGGTTAACAATGGAGGAAATTGGGAGGGTTGGTTCGATGGAGGAAGAAGATAAGTGGGGAAGGAGGGTCTTCGCCCGCCCCCATATGGGGATTTTACCCGATCACCCGGCCGGGTGAGTTAACAGACCCGGTCGGGCCTAAGCAATCGCTTATCCAGTAGCCTTTTTTGAAAATCGCCCGGCCGGGTGTAAAGTGTGTACCCGGTCGGGCCTAAATGTTCGTTATCCAGAGAGTGTTTTAAAAAATTCACCCGGCCGGGTCTAATGAAGTAACCCGGT